GAGATCGATCCTGAGACGTTATATATTGGCTAGATTGAGTCGGAGGGTTGGTGCCGGAATCAGTCAAATACTATTTTTATTGACCCGAATGAGCCGTGAGGACATGTGGTCCAGAATCTGGCAAATGTGAATAATTTTTGTTATGTTTGAATGGTACCGGGGTGGTACAGAGTACATTAGTGTAATAATTATGTCGGAGGATTCGAATGAGGTCCCGGACTTCACCGATTGGTCGGGTCGGGTAGACTACGAGATCGGGTGGTGAGAAGTCGATGGGGGATGACTGGTGGCGTGCTCGGAGGGTACTCCGAGTATGACTGATGAAGGGCGTCAGTAATCCTAATCTGTGTGGAGGGTGGTCAGAATAGTACTGCGGGTACCGATCACAATGTGCCCACAGATGATAGTCTCTGAGTTCGGGCATAGTTAGGGTATACTTCCGGAAGGTGTCTTAGTGTGTTGATAATTTCGTAATTGATCATAATATATAATTATTACTTTTATATCTATTTTATTATATCGAATGATTTAATACTTACCCCTATTTTTCCATGTGGATGAGACTGCGATGATCACTTTTATGTGGGAGCAGATCAGGAGTTGAGAGATGGTGATGTGACTACTGGACAACAGGGATAGTTCAATGAGATAGCTTCGAGGGAGCTACTTTTACATATATAATATATAAATAAATTATGTTACTATATTTTGAAGTTCAGTTTGTGAACTGTAATTTCAATATATGTTACAATTACAAGTAATATAATGTAAAATAGATGTTGTTATTTACTTGTTTACTATTTTGCGAAAACATCATTATAGTAACGATTGTTAGGGTCGTTACAATTTGTACTTAAAATAGGTTTAATAGATAAATTGATTTTAAAGACTTAATAAATAAATTATGTTAGATGAAAAAAATATAATCTAAATTACATTAGGTCAGTTTTGGTCATGTTTATTTAATTTGTGTTATGAATAAATTTAGGTCATAACGATCAATGTCATTCTATTTTATAGTATAATAGTTATTTTTTAAATAAAAAAATTAAAATTATTTTATTAAATATATATATCATATACAAATTTGAAAGAAATTACTTTGAATTATAAAATTAAAAAATTATACTTATTTTTATTATTAATTTTTTTAATTTCATAATTAATATGAATTATTATTTTATATTTTAGATTAATAATATCTCCAAAAAAATATTTATAAAAATATGTAAGATTATAAAAAATAAAATATATTATTTTAATTTTGAGTCTTATTATTAAAGTTGAAAAAAATATAAGTAAATTTGTACGTGGATCATATTAAAATGGTATATTTTATTTGTAATATAAAAATGGATGAAAAAGAAGTAAATTAGGAATTTTAATTTTTTGAATAAAATTATATTAGAACAAAATCATCTATGAGTTTTTATAATACATTATTTTTTTAATTTAATGATTAATAGAATTTAATATTTTAATTTATTAGATTACTAATAAAGAAATAATTGATGAAAAAAAACTCACGTTATAATTAATATTTGTATATAATTTTGTATTATATATATGTTTTTAAATTTTTATTTTAAATTATAATTTTATTTTTAATATTTTAATAATAGTCACGAAATTTTTTAAGTAAATATTTTAAAATTTATATTTATATTTTATATATGGGTTGTTCTTTTTAGTTGGGCTAGACAGTAGCTTGACCCATTTGTTTCTTTCTTTCAGCCTCTTTTTAATATTTAACACCAACGTTCACTTTTTTAGATGGGTTATTTTTTCCCTTTTAAACACTCACTTCACCCAAAAATCCCTTTTATTAAAACTCTTTCTAGGTTATATAATAGAATTTTACTGTATTGATGAATTTAATCAATTTTATGTAATAGGTCCAAATAATAATAAGTTTAGATCATTTTAATATAGAGAAAATTTAATTATATGATTTTTTTTCATAATTTTTTAACCTTGTTTTAAAACTGATAAATAATATGAATTTTTAAAAATTCTAATTATTAATATATACAAGTTGAGATAAATTATCTTATATATTTTCTCAAATTTGAATTAAAATTTTGAATTAATGATAATGTTGTCAACCAAATTTAATATCATAATATTATATTAATTTCATACCATAAATATTATATTGGATCTCAATATTGTAAATTTTACATTAAATATTTTCTCCAGATAAAAATTTTAATTAAAATAATAATACTAATGATAATAAAAAAATCAAAATTATACTTAATACTTTTTCATAATTGTTAAATAATGATTATTTTTTAATAATATAAATATTTAAGAGAGAATTAATTATTTGAATTTATATTCTTTTATTTACACATCTTAAATGTGTAAGTTATGAATTGTAATCATCTAGAGATCCTAACTAAATTAGACTGAATAAAACTAAAAAGGTTAACATTCAGATATTTTCTGAATATGAAACATTCTCAGTCTTTATCAAAATAAAATATATTTATAAAATAAAACAAATATTATGGTTTACAAAATAAATACTATACTTAATTAAATATTGGTAAAACTAATTATTTTAGGATGATTTAAACATTTTATAAAATAAATATTATACCAAATTAAGTATGGGTCAAACTAATTATTTGATGGACGTTATAGATCGCAAATATATATCGTCTTGTTACGATTTTTATAATAATTAACAGATTTTTTATTACCATTCTTATAAAATAATTTTTTTGTTTAATAGAATTTTTTATTTTCACGTTTAAAATATTATTTACTTTAAAAATTTAATCTGATATTATTATTTTTTATTTAATAAATTAATATAATATATATATATATATATATATATATATATATATATATATATATATATATTATCCTAAAACGTGAAATGATACGAAATTAAAGATTATAAATAAAAAAAAACTTTATTTTCAATCTCAAATATCTTACCTAAAATATAAGAGGTCAGTAACCATTTATATTAAAAAAAAATCTTAATAATAATTTTATACAACAAATTTTATAAGAATAAATAAATTTTGAGGTGGTCATGCAATCGATGTATTTGTAAAAAATTGAAAAAATCACTTATAAATATTTTTCAATATATAAAATAAGTTAAAAAATATATTAAATAATTTATAATATATATTCAAATATAACTTCTCAAAAGTTATATAATATTTATTCTTAAGATATGTACTTAATATTTTTGAAGAATGTTGAGGATTTTAGTCAATTATATTGTATAACTTATTATTTCGTAAGTGTTAATAAAAATTGAAAAGAAGGAATATATTATTCAACAGTTGAATAAAACCATTTAAGAAAAAAAAGTATGTAGTCTAATTTTTACAAATAATAACTTTCAGCACCTTTATTTCACCACTTAATAACTCTTATTTTATCTTCATACTGCACTCCAAATTAATAAAATATAGTCAATGAAGAACAAACACATTCTATGTTTGATACTTTAGATTATTTTTTTGTTCTTTTATTGCACTTTAGGAATTCATATATGGTACATAAGTGTGTTAATAATGTTTTATATTGAAATATTTATTTGAAACTCGTTTAAGATGAGCTTTATATTACAATATATTATTATGAATTATAAAATAAATATAATTCATTCTAATAAAATTAGTTTATAAATCTTATTTATACATTATAATTTAATTATATTTTTATTTATATGTATTTTTTAATAAGGTATATATTATTTTTATTATATTTATATTTTTAATTGATATAAGATTTTCCACATTGTTATTAAGGATATAAATAATTTTGAAGATATTTTTACTATTAGAATATAAGTTATCTAATGTCATTTACTCTTCAATTATGTATTATATATTACAATTTAATCATATTTTAGTATATGGTAGAATTTTTAATATGTTTAGTGTAATACATAAATATATCCCCGAAGGAAACATATTTTAAAGATTAAAGAGAAACGATTATATTTTTACATAAATATTTTTTATACATATTATTTTTAAAATAATTTTAAAAATATTTATGTCTGTTTTAAAGTATTTTTATTTTTATTTTTAAAGAACTAAAAAACTAAATAAATAGTCTTCTGTCACCTGTTTGATGATGGCTGAGTATTTTTCTTTAACCATCAAGATATATTGTTCACTTATTTTAAAGCTCTGGTTGCTAAAGTAAATAAAAAGTATCTGAAAGTTTAAAAGTTAATTAAAAAGTATATTAACAGTTAAATATTGTTAAATTGTGGTAAAACTATTCATTGAGGTAGTTTATAAATATAACACAATATATACATTATGTTTTTTTATAAATATTAGCTTTTATTGATAAAAATGTATCGTACCATATTTATATTTTGTTTTATTAAATAACATTACACTCTTATGATTTTTATTTATAAGTTAATTGTTTTATTATTAGTTCCAACTATTTATATTTTTTATATTATAATTCTGTTATTAATCTTAAAATATCGTTGGTTATGTTAAAAAAAAAAAAAGCGTACTGGTGTATATCACATTCTATCATGTCCACTTGTGTAATCTTGTTTTTAGAGCAAAGTATACTTATTAAAATATTTAATTGGTGAGAAAACATCATTTAATTAAATTTTAAAGTATAATATTAAAACACTGATTCATGTTTTTTTAAAATAAACTTCTATAATACAGGAAAAGCTGTATTTACAACTCAAAACAATGATTAGAAACATTTCAATGTATAGATGAAAATTGACTTTCACATTTTTCAATATAAAAACAAATTTTAATGTATTTTTCTTAACTATTGTACAGGATTGACTAAATAGACTGTCTATATTTGCAGAAGGCTGCTTGTAAGTTTTAGAAGTCAACTAAAGAAAATAAAAACATGTTCATAAATGTTTTTCACTTAATTTGACTTTGCAAGAGTTAATTAACCTCTATAAGAGGATAGCTACACGAGCCAATGTTCCTCACAACTCACTCCATACAAACTCCAAGTACACAAAAATGGATCTTGCTATGGCCATCCAAGCCTTTGCTCACTTCATACTCATTGTTCTGCTCTTCCCTGCAGCAACGAGTGGTGAGAAATATGTTAAATTTGAGCTTTGTTTGCATAATGTTATTAGTCGAGTGTATATGTTTGCAAACCTTTGTTTTGAAACATTTTTCTGAAAGCAAATTTGGAAGGTTCACTTATCTTTATTGCAAAATAAAACTGAGGTAAAACATGTTATTGACCTCCGCAAACACATGGCCGATGTGGTCTCCAATTCTCGGATTCAAAGGAACTATCAACCTGCCAATGCCACACTTCTTAGCTCCGACCATGACATAATGGTAAGTTTTTTTTTTTTTTTTTCACTATAAACAAGACAATGCAATGACTTTAATTATGTTATAATAATATTGCTGTGATTAATTATTGTATTGAGTTATTATATTGGTTATGGAGTTTTGAACTGGACATTGATAAATATCTTTGAAAAAGAAATGGTACCGTACTAAAGTTTTTAAAGTAAATAATATTTTCTATACGGTCATTTATTGACTTTAAGATTTCATAGGAGACAATTTTTTTAAAACGAATCCCTAACCAACTGTGTGGATCTTCACTATTAATTTTGAGACGAAATAATATATTATTAATAAATAATAAATAAATATAAAAGGAAGAAAAAAATGTGAAAGGATGAAAAAATAAAACTGTAGATATATAATTAAATATATTAAATGATGATTAAGTTTAAGAGAAACAAAATCATAAATTATATGAGAGTTATAAAATTGAAGAGAGACTGAGAGTATAAAATTATAAATATTCAAGTAAATATATTAAATATTCATTATGTTTGGGGGACCAAAATCATAAATTATATTAGAGATACAAAACTTTGGGAAAATATTTATGTATGACAAAAACCTTATTTTTAACTAAAAAAAGTTTATTTTTATTTCTTTTAATTTTTTTATTATGTAAGGTTTTATAGGAATTTTTGTGATATCGTGAATACAGAGGTAAGTAATTATTAATAATAACCATTATTTTTTTATTAATTAACAAGCCTTTCATTTGTAAAAGTATAGGTAAACTGGACTGAGAATGCAGGATATATTACAATTAACGAAACTCAATACCAACTGCTGCAAGGTCATTGGCATTCTCCCTCGGAGCACAAAATCAACGGCATGAGGTGCTCTCTTTTTTCCTCATTTATTACATAAACAATACACAATAATTTACCCAATATTATATGCTTTAAAATTAAAATTTCCATAAATTTCTGAAATTATAGGTATGATCTAGAGTTGGAGCTGGTGATGCAAAACAATTTGATTCGAGCAGCCGTTGATGGAGCTGGTGATGTAGGTTACTTCGTACCTATCAAACATTTATTTTTATATATCATATCCACATATAATAAATAATTCACATTTTCTTCACAAATTAAAATTGAGTTTTCAATAATTAAATTTTCATTAAATATAGTGGACAATCTCAATTATAAATATATGGAAAACGATTCTTTGACAACTGAAAACAAACATTCGTTCGACAACCGGGATTAAAAAGAAATTAATTAAAAATAAGGGTTTGATTAGTAAAATTGTAGAGGGGTAGAGATGTAATATTGTAAAAATGGGGGATGTTATTGTAAAAAGTGAAAGATACGTTTGAAGAAATGTCATTGATTTTCGCTTTTCACGTTCGCGCTCTTCCTCGCTCGACTTCTTCTCCCTCGACTTAGGGTAAAATTTGTCCATCTCGCTCTTCACGGCGCTCGAATTCCTGTCGCTTGGCTTCGTCCGTGTCATTGGAGCTGAACATCACTGTGTGTTGCTTGAGCGACCCTGCGGTGGTGAGTGTTCGTTTAACAACATTTGCTTGATTTTGTGTGTATTTTTGATTGGGTTTCCATTGTTGTTTTCTTTTCTGTTTATCTTTGATTGGGTTTGTAATGAAGGTGTTTTTCACGGTTTAGGGTTTATTGAGTTGTGATGCTATATTAATGTCGAACAAGTGTTTGATGAAATGCTATAATGAAGGTTGGTATTTGCGCATTTTTGCTTTGTTTTCTGTTTATCTTTGATTGGGTTTGTAATGAAAGTATTCTGTAGGGTTTAGGGTTAATTGAGTTGTGATGCTATATTAATGTCCAACAAGTGTTTGATGAAATGCTACAATGAAGAATTGTATTTGCATGACAAACATTTTGTATAATATGCACAAGATTTACACCCACGTTTGCATAATTCACAATTTGACCAAAAGTATGTGTAACATGGTTGGACTTAATTTTTTTGTTTGTACTATTTTGTGATTGTAAGTTACAATTTTAATAATTTGTAATAGGATTAGTTTGGGAAAAAATGTCTGCAAAAAGAGACCGTCTTGACGAGAAAAAGGTATGTGCATGTTAATTATAGTTTTTTTATGAAAAGTGATTTACTAAATATTCAATTTGTTATATGTTATGTATGTTATATATGTTATATATGTTATACATGTTATATGTGCAGATAAGATTAAGACACAAGATTGAGACAGAGTATATAGCTGATATAAATTCAAAGTTGACCAAACACCAACGAGCAGCTATTGAACAAACTCCGTTTAAATGGCTTCTTCAAATAAAAGAGCCATTGCAAATATCAAGCAATATTATAAGAGAACTAGTTAGTCGATGGTCGGTTAGTGATCATTGTTTTAGAATAAAACAATATCTTTGACACTCAGTCTCTTTGTCCAATTGTATTTAAACCGGCATTATAGTGATGTTTCATTATAATCCTCAGTCTCTTTCACACTCTTTTTCTTTTGTCGGTGCCAGGTCGAGGACAAAGGCAAGAGGTCATGCTCTTCATCGGGTCATATGTCAACCCCTGTTGGTGCAAGTGCCACCGTAAAGAAAAGACAGGATGCAATTATATAGTGTCTTGTGTACAACCAAATGGTGGAACAATTTGTTAACATGAAATTGAAGGATTGTAATAATGAATGACTTGTGAATTTTAATTGTTGTAGACATATAAACATCAATGTAAATTTGACATTATATATTCACAGAATTATATTCACAGAATTTGACAGAATTATATATTCACAGAATTATAGAAAACAATTCAAAATTTGACAAATTAATCTAACAAATTATCAGGTTTTTGTGCAAAAAAATATTACATGACTCTCTGCTACATCCAAACACACCAGTTGAAAAATATTCATGCCAAATTAACAGTTTAATCTACTTCATACACAAATATTCACACCAATTGAAGGTTTTGTCGCTTAAGCGATGGTTTCGTTTGGTAAAGGTTCAACTGTCGCTCAAGCGATTACATAGTCGCTTGAGCGCGAGGCGACCTAAGATAGCGGTTAATTAGAACCGCTTTTAAAAATATATTAGATAGCGGTTAGCAAAATAACCGCTATAATAAATGTAGTTCAGATAGCGGTTGGCCAAACAACCGCTATCTAAAGTCATATATGTCAAACTGATCGATTATAATTGGATAATAATCGATCATAATGTATAGTTCAGATAGTGGTTAACCAAATAACCGCTATCTAAAGTCATATATGTAAAACTGATCGATTATAATTGGATAATAATCGATCATAATGCATAGTTTAGATAGCGGTTGTCCAAATAACCGCTATGTAAAGTCATATATGTCAATCTGATCGATTATAATTGGATAATAATCGATCATAATGTATAGTTCAGATAACGGTTGGCCAAATAACCGATATCTAAATGAGGGGGGGGTGAGTTCTTCTTTAAAAGTTTTTCGCAAATAACAGATTATCTAATATCACCGATGTTTTATACTGGTTCACCCAATACCAGGGCTATGTCCAGTCTCCAGCCAAATTCCAGCTGGGTTCCACTAGATCAAATGTTAAAAGATTCTTTTAATCTGTTAAAAGTGCAGTTTTAATCTGTTAAAACTTCTTTTAATCCATTAATACGTTCTTGATTCTTTAACAGATTTGTTTTAACTGATACGACAACGTTTGTATCAATTAAAACACTTTACAAAAAAATCTTCTAAGTTGATTTAATCGATTGTTTCGTGATTCAATCGATTGAAATACTGCAAAACTTTCTTATAAAACTTCTCAAGTTATTTTAACTGATAAAAATAAGTTTTAATCGATTAAAAAGCTGTGTAGAAATTTGCTAAGTTGTTTTAATCGATTGAAACGAGATTTAATCGATTAAAAGAGTTCTGATCGGTCATAACTAAATTCTGATCGATCATAATTGATTCTGATCGGTCATAATTCATTTCTGATTGATCATATCTTATTCTGATCGGTCATAATTGTATTCTGATCGATCATCCTGAACTCCAAGCCATAGGTTATCCCTTTAACAATATTTATCCTCTTTCTCCAATTCAGCTTTGAGCTTCCACATGATAAGACAAGTTGCAAAACAAGCTTCCCCTTTCCATATACTCATACACTTGTTATGCAAACAAAAGCCATAAAGCTTAATGATGTTACGATGGCGAATTTCTGTGAAGATCTTGGTCTTGTTGCAAAAGCTCTTGTAAAAGGATGGATTTTCAGATTCTGCTTTGTGAAGCTTTTTCAGTGCAACAATTCTGCCACTGGGAATCAGTGTTTGAAGGTCTCAATTGTTTGAAGGTTGCGTCGCTCGAGCGATAACTTTATCGCTTGAGCGAGTTTATACCCAATGACGAAACGTCAAACGCAGTTAGCCAAATAATTTAGGTTGGTTCACCACATATTAGAATCACTTTTCGCTCAAGCGTTCAAAAAGTCGCTTGAGCGAGATAGAACCCGAGAGTCTCCCTTTTTGAAGGCTGCGTCGCTCGAGCGATATCTTTATCGCTTGAGCGAGTTTATACCCAATGACGAAACGTTAAACGCAGTTAGCCAAATAATTTAAGTTGGTTCACCACATATTAGAATCACTTTTCGCTCAAGCGTTCAAAAAGTCGCTTGAGCGAGATAGAACCCGAGAGTCTCCCTTTTTGAAGGCTGCGTCGCTCGAGCGATATCTTTATCGCTTGAGCGAGTTTATACCCAATGACGAAACGTCAAACGCAGTTAGCCAAATAATTTAAGTTGGTTCACCACATATTAGAATCACTTTTCGCTCAAGCGTTCAATACGTCGCTTGAGCGAGATAGAACCCGATGGTCCCTATTGGTTAAGGTTCCATTGCTCAAGGAATGTCATCCTCGCTTGAGCGACTATTGAACCACATACCACAAACTTTAGATAGCGGTTACTTTGAACCGCTTTTAAAAATATATATTAGATAGCGGCTAACCGTAAACCGCTGTCTAACGTATGTTAATGATCGATTATAACCTAAAATAATCGATCATATTATCTATTTTTTCTAATATCGCTCAAGCGAAATTAACATCGCTCGAGCGACACCACCTCCTAAGAATGGGGATTATCGGGTTGTGTTTCGCTTGAGCGAAAATAATCTCGCTCGAGCGACGCCACCTCCTGAGAATGGGGTCACCCATGTTACATTATGCGGCTAACTTTGATCGACGTTTAGCCCAAGGTCAACATTCGCTCAAGCGAAATTTACATCGCTCGAGCGACACCACATGCAAAAAATTGGGATTCTCGGGTTGTATTTCGCTTGAGCGACATTAATCTCGCTCGAGCGATATCTGGTTCAAACATGATATTTGTCACTTTTAAGAGTTGTAGACATATAAACATTATGTGGTTAATTATGATAGACATTTAGTCATGTTTTACTATTGGCTTAACCATATATCTGCTGACCACCTCATAATGCACATAAACATACATGATCAGTCGAACAACACATAGGAGGAAGATACAATGCTATCACTATGAGATAAAAAGTAATGTACAATATAACATTATCACAGGCCACAAAAATTACATCATAAAGGTCTGCATCAAATATAAATTACAATTACAACAAAACCTAACAAAATAATTCATCTACACAACACTTATTTCGCCTTTTTTCTTTTCCTTGAATTAGTCGTCCACGGTGTTTTGACCATAAAACTTTTATACCTTATTCTTGGATGACCTTTAAGTCGCGTATACATATTTGACCCTTCAAAATGCAACTTTGATTCTTCTGTTGCTTCAACATGATGCTTCATCTCTTTAATACTACTACCTTCAAATACTGGAGAAAAGTACATCCCACATGATGGAGGATTTACTTCTTCTGTTGATAGTTTTGCTTCATCTAACAATTCGTGTAATTGTGTTACATCTTCCTCTAGTTTTTCAATTGTTGATTCCTGTTGTTTGGTTACGGCAATCAACATTTGATTCTCAGCACTAATTCCACACAACATATTAGTAAAATTTTTCACTTCTTCAGATGCATAAGTGGTATGTCCTAATGCTTCTTTCACTATATCATGAGCAAGCTCTTCATTTCTGGCGCACAAGTCATGAATAACCTATGAGTAACAAACAATGTCAAATTGAAATCACATTTTGACATATGGTAAAGTAATATTGCAAACAAGTTCTACTAAATTTTTCATGAACTAACCCTATTATGATTAAACGCAACTACAATCTTGCTTTCCCCAATTACAACAGAGGTCTATTGTAAAAATCTCAAAAATCGACTTATCTCATTACATGATTTGGTATTATAAAGTACATGCTCCATGACCCATACCTGAATTCATATAAACAAAATGCACAATATCAAATCAGCTGACTATATTGAAAGTATTCTAACAAAACATATATCGTAATTTAAGATTTACCTGTAACAAAAACACACATCCTAGAACACGGAAGTGTGAACAATTTCTTCGTTTCTTCAAATAAATCGATGCTTCACATAAACTTCCAACCAGATATTCATACACTGCTTTTCCCCAATTATACTTTCCAAGACAAGATATATTATCTATTAACTTAAAAGTATGTACAACCTACAAAAGTATGTACAACCTAAAAGTATGTACAACCTACAAAAGTCATCGACATCCTTATCATTTTGACGTTTAACAAGTTCATTAAAAATCATTTCCAAAGTAACATGTTTCCCATTAAATAGTCTCCTAGTATGACAATCAATGTTTCCTTCTACAATGTTGACATTTTCGCCTACTACACGAAGTCCTAAACCTAAACACACATCTAATAGTGTAAAGCATACTATCTCAGACCTTATATTAAATCCTCCTCTCTTTTCAACCCATCTACTTATTAATTCACTAAGCAATGTTCTACTAATTTTGACCTTTCTACCCAATGACATCAACCATTTAAATGGTGTTGCCTCAATACGACTTCTTTGTTCTGTAGTAAGAATGTTATTCACTTCACCCAAATAATTAGTCCTGCAAACATGTCACAAATATACCTGAAAATCACATTAAATAATTATAATTATCATCAACAATATCCTATATTATATAAATGGATACAACATTCACCTTCTTAACATTTGAAGATCCATCGTCTATGCTTTCCATTTCAAACTGCAAATACATGTAACCCTATTTAATTTGAGTTCATAGTATAAAATTTATTTACTGTCATGACGTTTACTACAGGTCGAGCACATTCATACAAGTATTTCATGACAAGAATCTGAGTATCATCTAAGAATGAATATCATAAAAGTTATGTCAAAGCATATACTCATTTTCATTACTAAGGGTCAATAACATGTAGTAAGAAAACACAATTTCAGATCACAATGTAGACAAACTCTAAATCCTAAACCCTAAAAATATATAATGCACTAACTCCCAATTAAGCGCGTCCTACAACAACAATGGCGAATGGAGACTGGAACGCAAACTTGGCGACACACAAATATATTACAATGTAATATGCTTCAATGTGAGCAAGAGAATCAGAAAGATTGAAAATACAAAGAACGTACCTTTAGCTTAATAGAAGACGCAAACAGCGAGAATGAGAGCGCAGAGAGCGAGAATGAGAGCGCATAGAGCGGCCAAAAAATGCAGACAGAAAGAGCGCGAGGTTGAAGAAAGTGAGAGGTAGGGTTAAAAGAAAATATGACTTTAGATAGCGGTTCACTCCTAACCGCTATCTAAAGTGTCGTCGCTCAAGCGAAATTTACATCGCTCGAGCAACGCTACCTGCCACAACACTTCGCATTTAATATTTTTTTATTCGATAACACTGTGCATTTAATATTTTTTTATTTAGTTGTCGAATGGATGTTTAAAATGGGTGTCAAAATATCGGGACTCTAAATATATATATAAGTACATGTATTTAAATAGTTTAAAATAATACTGATTGAAGTGTAACACTCCTTAATTTTTCACTATATGGATTTGTTTGTGTTCTTCAACTTTTTAAAAGAAAAGAAGTTAGAGCTAAAGTGAAACACATTAATGAACTATTTGTAGAATATTAACGTAGAGTATATTGTTTTATCGATAAAAAATATTTTTAATTACTTTTTTGTAGATTACTTAAAAATGAAAATATTGATTTAAGAGACAAATCTAATATGATTTGGATCAATTTCATATTATATTGAAAGACTAATCATGTGTTTCCTTTTTGATATGCTAGGAAACATTTGAGAATGCTAGACCCATGCAACCAAGAAATGGTCGCACGGTGCAACTCTACTTGCCTAAAGATCACCGTGGAAATTGAAGCACACTTTTGTTGAAGAAAGTTGACAATGCAACACATTACCTTAAAATAAAGTTTGCTAAACAATACTAAAATATGATGTATTGTTTTTAGTTTAAGTCTAAATATAATGTATGTTAAAAAAAATAAGGAGTAATGAATAAATAATTACCATAACTTAATATATATATATATATATATATATATATATATATATATATATAGAGAGAGAGAGAGAGAGAGAGAGAGAGAAATGGATGATTCAAGAGTAGAGAATTTAATCTTTAAAATAATAATATTTTATATTAAGTATTATAAAAAATCAATAATAATGAGTAGAAAAATTAAAGGTATATATATATATATATATATATATATATATATACAATAAATATAAAATTAGATAATTAAAATACAAAGTTATAAGAAATTAAATACAAAATTTATTCACTACGTGACAAAATTAAATAAATTTAAATTCAAACAATTTTTTATTTTAAAAAATATATCTAATAAAAATAAAAAATAAAAAACAAATATTTTTATATTCAAACTTTTTATTAACTAATTTATGAACATATATATTTTCTATTTTATAGACATCATAATCAATAATCGTCTTATATAGTCTATATAATAGTTATGATATTAACTATGACTAAATCACAACTTTATATTTTGTATATGGTCTTTCATGCGTGTATATATATATAATGTAATTTTTTTTATACTAAATTTTGGCAAGGATGAGTATAAGTTCAAGATATTTTATATATAAAAATGTAATCTACTTTACTATTTTTTCATATAGATTTTATTTCAAAAAAGGAATTTTTTTTATTTTTTAATTTTAAAAAAATTATATATATATATATATATATATATATATATATATATATATATATATATTGTTGATAAGAACAAATTAATTAAATAATTATGGTGTATAGTAAGAAATATAAAGAAAGTGATAACTATTGATTTTTCTAAAATGATTGGAGTTTTTATGTTAGAGATAAATGTTAAAATTGATAATCTCATTCCTCTAAAGATAACTGAATTGATAATCTTATCAATTATTAAAATTGATAATGTTTGTATTTCAAGTCATCCCTGAAAAGAAAGTAGTAATGTTTTATAGAGAAAGAACTTGAAATGTTTGGTGTCTCTCGTCTATTTACGTTAATATTTTTATTTGTATAATGCACAAGAGATAAAATAAGGAAGTAATAATAAATATTATTTAAAATAATATTATAATTAGAATCAACTTTTCAATTTATTTTTTATTATAAATATTTGAATTGATTTTTATAGTGAATAGATACGATAAATGAGTCCAAAATTAATTTCATTTTATGATATTTACTTACTTCAACCCAATGTTGAATCTTCATCTAGAATATCATAAAATCTTTAAAAATAAATATTATTTTAAAAAATGAAAACAATTAAATAATATAAATAAAAATTAATAAATAAGAATTAGAATGTTGCTGAAAATAAATATAAAGTAGAACCAATTTATAATGAGAGATAAAAAAATTAGGATTAATGTGTAACTGGAGATAAATAAATATAAAATAGAATCAATGTATAATTCGAGATAAACAAATAAATAAAATAAAATAAGACCAGTGTATAACTAAAGATAAAATAAATATAAAATAGGTTTAGTTTATAATTGAAGATAAATAAATAAATAAAATAAATATAAAATAATACTAGCGCATAACTATAAATAAATAAAATGATATTAATGACACCCCACTCAAGCAATTATAATGAAAAATAAATAATCATAATGATAAATATCTCATTTACTTTTCTTAAGTCTATTATCCTATTATTTTAAATAATAATTTATTTATTTTTATTATCATTACTTCATTTTTATTTCTTAATATATATTCAATAAATATATATAATAAGAATTTATGTTTAATAAATATTTATTTATTTGTAATATATATATATATATATATATATATATATATACACGTGTATATTTTGTTTCAAAAAATATTATAATTATATTTAAAGAAATTTTACATGATAATTTTTTGTTTAGTGTTATATTTTCTACTTACATACACGAATTTCGTCTTCGAAATTTTTATTAACTAAAATAAATAAGAGTAATTTTCTCCGATTTTCTTCTCCAACTCTCCTGTAGTATCTCTAGTTATGTCATTTCAAGTGACTTTTATTAGTGTAATTTGTCTTCTCCCTTAATTGTTTAACCTTCGTATATGGAAGTACTTTAATTATATTATATTCGACATTATTATATGAGAATGGTTGAAAATATATTTTGTTAATTGAGACACATGAAACACATGATGGATATTAGGGAGAAAATGAGGTAAAAAAAATTGATAAGCAACGAGACCTATCTTTTTGAGAATTTGATAAGGACCAATAAATTAGAGAGTGAGTTTTTACGATTTTATTACTTTACCTACTCCAATTGTAACTATTACTTTTAAGAATACATTATCATCTTCTTGGAATTCAATGAGTCGTATTTTCTTGTTAACATAATTTTTTTTGTTTACTTTGAGTTGTTCTCAATTTTTTCTTAATCATCCTTATTTTTTTCGTGGTAAGTTAAATCATGTAAGGATCTAAGATAAAAAAAAATTTCCAGCTTCAAATCAGCATAAAAGTGTTCTACGTTTTCTCCCATACAATGCCTTATAGGGTGTCATACCTATGTTAGAATGAAAATTGTTGTTGTAATTAAATTAAATTAAGGACAAGTATCAATCTTAACTATTAAAATTCTCTAATGCACACGTTCACAATGAATCTTCCAATGAATGGATGGTCCTTTTTTACTATACATCAATTTTGGGATAATAAGCTAAGCTAAAATGACATTTAGTCTCAGGCTTTATGTAAACTCCCCAAAAATATAGAAGTAAACTTAGGATCCTTATCGTATATAATACTAGATGAAACTCCATGTAACCTCACAATTTCTCTTATGTACAATTCAATTAACTTTTCCAATGAATACCTAATGTTAATGGGTAAAAAGTGAGCAGATTTTGTAAACCTATATACAGTAGCCCAAATGGAAATTTGTTTTTGAATTGTTCGTGGTAAGCCAACTACAAAATGCATCGTTATACTATCTCATTTCCACTCAAGTATGTTTAAAACTTGTAGCATTCATGTTGACTTTTGATATTTTATTTTAGATTTATGACTAACTAAACATGATGTTACATATTGTGCTACTTTCTTCTTCATCTTAGCCCAAAAAATATTTTTTTAAGATCTTGATATATTTTTGTTGTGCTTGGATGTATGTTTAATTTGCTCTTATATGCTTCTAAAATTAATTTTTTAATCTCTACATTATTCGACACATATATCATATCATTAAATATCAAAATTTCTATCCTATCTATGCCAAAAATTGCTCCATTCTTTTGTACTATCAACTTTTTTTCTTTTGAATTAATTCATCACTTATTTGAGTCTCATAGATTTGCCTTTGTAAATCACTAGTAATATAAATTGAGTTTAATTTCATTCTACCAAGTCTCACGGTAATTGAAAAATTTATGCCTCTGAATGTTTCCAGCATACTCATCTCATGAATCATCAATGTAAAGATATGTAAGGATTTTCTGCTTAAAGGGTATGTCACTACATTTGTCTTTCTTTGATGGTATTGTAATTCAAAATCATAATCTTTCAAAATTTTATCCATCTTCTCGATCTCGTATTTAACTCTTTTTTATCAAACAAATATTTAAGACTCTTATAATCACTAAAAATCTTAAACTTACTACCATACACATAATGTCTCCATGTTTTAAGTGCAAAAACAATGACGACTAGTTCTTGATTCTGGGCTGGGTAATTTTTCTCATATGTTCTTAATTATTTAAAAGCATATGATACTACCCTTTAATCTTGGATAAGAACACATTCTAATCCCATTTTGGAAGTATCACAAAATATCACAAAGTGTTTAATAGGATTAAGTAATGCTAACACATGGGAAGTATTTAATCTTTTCTTAAGCTCTTGAAAACCATTCTCACATTTTTTTTTTGTCCATTTAAAAGCTTGATCTTTCTTGGTGAGTTGGGTTAAAGACATAGGTATCTTAGAAAATCTTTCAATGAATTTCCTACAATACCCTACCAAACCCAGAAAACTACGAAGTTCAGTAACTATTTTTGGTGGATTCCATTGGAGAATTATTTCTACTTTGGTTGGGTCTATTGATACTCTTCTTTGGAGATCACGTGACCTAAGAATTTCACTTCTTTTAACCAAAATTCACACTTAGACAATTTGACATATAATTATTTGTCTCTCAAAATCTGGAAAACAATTCGAAGGTGTTCTTTAAGCTATTTAAGAATCTTAGAATAAATAAGAATGTCATCTATAAAAACTATTACAAAATAATATAAAAATAGACAAAAAATCATATACATATAATCTATGAATACTACATAGGCTTGATCATACCAAAAGACATCGCTTGATATTCATAATGACCATATCTGATTCTAAATGCAGTTTTCTATTTATCTTTTACCTTTACTTTAATTTGATGATATCTTGATCTTATATCTATTTTAGAAAACATATAAGCTCCTCTTAATTGTTCTATCAAATCATCTATTTAAAAAAAGTATTTATTTTTTTATGGTGAATTTATTTAATTGATCATAATCTACACACAACCTAAAATAGAAGATAATTAGTTCATTCTTAAGATTACATCTAATTGAGATAAAGGTAAACAAATTAAATTTATAAGAAATTTCTACCAAATTAAATTCTGAAGAGAATTGTCACTCGCAGGATTTGAACCCAATACCTTAAAGTTGAAAGTCGATACTCCAACCACTAAACTACTAGAATTTTCTAATAATAACTTACAAATAAATTATACTTATATAAAAATAAATATATATCAGTGTAAATATATAAATATAAAATATATAAATACAAATATATTTATATATTTTGATATTTTTATATAGTTA